GCCCCTTTTTCAATACCCATTTTCAAAAATGCCCCATTTAGCTGTCCATTTTTAAAAATACCTTTTTTTATGTACAAAATGACTAAATTACCCTTCTTTTAGTAAAAGACATCACAAATATATAAGAAAAATACGAGAATGTGCACACATCAAAATTAAAAATTTAATTTTGTAAAAACTTGTAAAACCTTTAAAATACCTTGTAAAATGTTTCCGCAAAAAATTTTCCCGCCAAAAAATTTTTTTTGCGGGAAAAGTGATTCGGCAATAATTTTTGGCGGAACATTTTACTAGGTATTTTAAAGGTTTTAAAGGGTATTTATAAGGTTTTACAATGTATTTTAAAAGGTTTTACAACGTATTTATAAGATATTATAAGATTTTACAAGCTATTTTATAAGGTTTTACAAGTTATAAGGTTTTACAAGTTTTTTATAAGGTTTTACAAGTTATAAATACCTTATAAAACCTAATAAGTACCTTGTAAAATCTTTTAAAATACATTGTAAAAACCTTACAAAAACTTGTAAATACTCTGTAAAACTTTTAAAATACCTTGTAAATTTTTCCCGCCAAAAAAATTTCGCCAAAAAAATTTGGCGGGAAAATTGTGGGATCACGTTTCCCGCCAAAAATTTGCGGGATCACTTTTCCCGCCAAAAAATATTTTGTATTTTGTGGACCTAATTTTGCTTCAAATAAAGGTAAAATGGTCATTAAAAACTAAAAGAGGGCAAACTTAAAAATGGACTCTCAAAAGGGGTATTTTTGAAAAGGGGTATCTCAAAGGGGTATTATTAACAATTTTTCAAGAAAAAATGTATCAACGTCCGAATGAGCATGAAGTTTAATTTAACAAGTATTCAATTTTGAAAGTTTGTATATGGTTAACTATGTTTTTTTAGTTGTATTGCTTAATTTTTCCAAATATAGTAAATTTTAAGCTTTTAAATTTTTTAAAAATATTATAATTGATATATTTAAACTTAATAAAAAAGTTTAAAATATTATAAATATTTAAACATATAAAAAGTTTAAAATATCATAAATATTTAGTCATAAAATAAAAAAAACTAAGAAAAATCAAAAAAGAAAAATAGAACACAACATTACTTCAAATAAAATTTTCTAATTAGGGTCGTCCACAATGAGCACATGGAGGCGGAACAGGGACATCATCTATCCAAAGTGTGGGCACAAACTGCCAATACAAATATATATCAGTACAAACCATTACAGTGGGACATTTAAAGAAATTTATATTGCAATCGTCATGACTATAATCTTCTGAATCTTTGTGGAGCATAGACTTCTGCGTCCGCAAATTAATCGACATCATACACTTTTTCTCAAGGCTCATCAAATAGAGAATATCGGTATCAAAGGGATGCATCGCTAGTGGACTAGAAGTAATACCAAACTCGATATGTCTTAAATTGATTTCCCATGACAAGTCCCATCTCAACAAACCATTAAGCTTCCAAACCTTTAGCCTATGATCTTCGTATATAGTAGTCGCTTCAATGTACATGATAAATCCTCCCGAAGTAGTACATGCACTCCTAGACCATTTTTCTGGGTAGCGTTTGTCGAATGACGTAATTATTGCTTTTGTTGGAAATGATATAGCATGACAACGATTAGCTCTTTCATTGTAAAAGTCAAGGACTATCATGTATCCAGTACGATTACTATCTATGACCCAATGAACCATTCCGTTCAAACTAATGGGATAAGGACTACAACAATCGGTCCAAGATATGGGATAAACATATGGATAATGAATGTTCTAGCGAGTCCATTTCCCTGTCTCAGATGAATATACTTGAAAACTAAGATTTGATGCTTCTTGAAACTTTTCCGTACAGAGTAGAATTACCTTGTAGCCCAAAACAGCGTCGTTTTCTACACGTGTGGCAAGACCACAAATATTAGAATAATAATAAGTTTCTAAAGAGAGAGTACAAGGACGAATTTTAACCCATTTACGTAACAGTGGATTCCCAACGTAATATATGTTGTCTAATAGTCTGATCAAAAGTAATCCACTAGCGGAAGCTCTAATCTGAAATGATTTGAGATCAAATTCCGTGTCGAGTATGGGAGGAGACAAGATATAAGAGCTCAGAGATCGTGGAAGTCCCCATCTCTTGCAGTTGTTCAAGGCTATATGTTCTTGAAATGGATACTCATCGGTTAGGAGCGACCATGAGCATGATGATTTTTTATGTAGAGACATGAATAAACTGCGAAAAGTTGCAGATTCTACCAACAATTTCCATCGTTTGCACACCGACTTGAATTTGGCGATGCTTCTTATCGGCAATCTTAATAATATTTCCTTCAATGGAAAATCATTATTCTTGTCCTTGCCTGATTCCATGAGACTTGCTTATACTTGGTTGATTAGTGTTTCAGAAGTTCGAAAGTTTGGTAGCAAGGATTGACTTGTTTTGATTTCATCTTATTTACAACCCAAGTTTGTGTATATATATAGGGTATATATTTACATACCTTTACACATGTTTCCGAGAAAAATATTTAGTCATAAATAAATACCAGTGTTGGCAACGAGTTTTATAGTAATACGATACATATATGTTACATAGATGTTAGCAAATCATATATGTATAAATGGCATAGTATTGTATGTAAATAATTATATATTTTTAGTTAATTGAAAAGATAATAATTTGATGTGTGTATATTATCCCACATTTGTTTTTAGACAACACTCATAAGTTTGACATTTTTTGTATCTTGTTAATGAAAAAGAATCAATCAAAATTTAAGAACAGTTATTTTGAATTAAAATTTGAATTAAATTATATTATAACTTAAATTCATTTGGATTCCCAATGAATAATGTTCTTATGTAACAAAAAAAAAGATAGAGACAAATCTATTTTTGCTAATTAATTATAAATATTATTCATATTTTTTATAATGTTTATAATTTATCTTCCACAAATGCTACTTGATTTTCTCCTTTTTTTCCTTCACTTTAAATTCATTTATGTATATGTGATTATTAGAAGATATCTTCACATGTAAGATGATATTATGCCATTTGACATATATCATAATTCTTAAAACTTTAAACTAATATGGAAGGAAAACTTGTGCCAGCAAAATGGTACAACAAAAGAGGATATTGTAGATATTTTTCATGTGTGAATTTATCTTACATGTGAAGATAAATGGTACAACATATATATATATATATATATGTTTGTTTTATTGAAAAATAAAATACAAAGAAAAATTCAAGTCATCTTTCTCTTAAACAAACTCTAAACTAAAAAGCAAGTCCAATGGAAGCTAACAAAAATATCATCGATAATCTTCCAGACATGATGTTAGCAGAAATATTGGTGAAAATTCCCCTAAAGAGCAATACCATAGTCAAGTTGGTGTGCAAAAGATGGAAATCATTGGTAGAATCTACAATTTTCCGTAATCACTTTTTGTCCCTGCACCAAAAAAAATCATGTTCTTGGTCGGTTTTACATAAGCATCACATCCGTGTCAATACAACACATGAACTTATAGGTTTTTACGGATGCGAGAAATGGGGTCTTCCGCGATCATTGGGCTCTTACATCTCGTCACCTTTCTCGGATGCGGGAATAGAAATCGTATCCTTTATTATTAAAGCTATCTCTAATGGACTGCTTTTGATTTTAACACAAGATTACATGATTTATGTTGGAAATCCAGTGTTACGTGAATGGGTTAAAATCCGTCCTTGCACCCTTTCTCTAAAAAGTTATTTTCAAACTATAAAGTTTGGCCTAGCCACACGTGTTGATGAGAACGGTGTCGTTTTAGGGTATAAGGTGGTTCTAGTCAATACACGTTTCGAAAACGCAACAAATCTTACTTTACAAATATACTCTTCTGAGACTGGAGAATGGACTTGCGAGAACGTTTGTTGCCCTTGCCCTATTCCTTGGGATAGTTCGCCTTATCCTGAACCCATTAGTGTAAACGGAGTGCTTCATTGGTTCGGGCATGGAACAATTAATGCTGGAGGCATTATAGCTATTGATTTATACAATACGAGTCCTCTTAGAGAAAACCATTGTTGGTTTATACCATTTCCAAACGAAAACCTTTTTGTTGTTGATGGAAAAAAAAGCTATAAGATATGGTGTAGGAGAGCTTGCACTACCTCAGAAGGATTCATTATGTACATTAACATGGTTTCAGAAAGCAAGATGAAGGTTTGGAGACTGAACAAGAACTACTACGAAATTGAATCAAGGGAATATTGGCAATTGTCTTCGGAAATCGATCTAGCACATGTTGATTATGGTATTGGTTCTATTCCAATCGTAATGCATCCATTTGATAGAAATGTTGTCTATCTATGGAGCGTGGAGAAGAGTTGTTTGGTATCAATTAACATGCGGGATCAAAACTCTATGCTCCACAAAGAATCGGAAAACTATAGTGATGGTTGCACCATAAGTAGTTTGGAAAAGTGTAAAAGCTATATGGAACTTCGTATGGACTGTTTTTATAAGTACTTGTTAATCTCACCGCAATTTTCCTCTTCAGTTTGGATGGATTCGGTCCCTCGTCCACCTATTCCTCTGTGTGTTTGTTGTGGACGATAGATGAAGAAAAATCAAATATGTTATGAATAAATTGACCAAATTTTATATTATATAATTCGGATAGTGATTTCGGTTTAACGGTTGCTTCCATAATTGATTTAAGAAATAAAATAACTAAACACTATTAATGAGCCTTGCCCTAAATGTTTGCTCTTTCAAAAAAATATGTTGATACCAAGTAAATGACAATGCCTTACAGAATTGTGATTTTCATTCATTCCTCCATATCGCTCCATCAATGGGGTGAACTTTGATCAGAAGAACCTATGTTTCCCAATAACACAAAAAACAAACAAACAAAATTGAAGTAAGAGAACAAGTATAGTAGTCCAAAGTCAATGCTTTTGTTGGTGCACCCAAGATTATATTAATCCTCAAATTGTTTGGGCATACAAGTTTAAAGCCAGTTTTGCCAGATTAGCAGCCAATACATTAGCTGATCTGGGAAAGAAACGACGAGGTAGAAAAATTCAAAATGCTAAGGAATACATCAGATAAGACTCTATGAACTTCTGCGAGTAAAGCTGTGGAGTTTATTGCTTGAACAAGTTGTAGGCAATCTGAGTTTAGCAGGAAGTGCTTCACACCAGCTCGTAATGCACCTGAAACAACACACCAATCTGGGGTGTTGGAGGGAGTGCAAGCTGGGCATTTTGCCATTCTTTTGCATCCTTTAATGCTTTGACCATATCTGGACAGTGAGACCAAAAAAAAGACAACTAAAGCGTTAAGTTCTGTAGAGCGACACATCAAGTCAATTAGATCCTGATATGTCCTTAACCAAGAAAACAAAATCTGCCACACTAAAGTTAGAAACAAAATACCAGTTACTGCTTCAGTGTCAGCAGTGGTTCCTGCACCACAGCAATATATGTTTGGTGCCATATAGTGAATCTTCTCACGATTTTTGTCAGCACCAATTGGCCTCTAGCCTCAACTACTCGGGTATCCGCCCATAGTATTGAAATCAGTCTTATATAGCTTCCACAGTGAGAGCACAAGAACATACACATCTTTACACGTTTGAATGATGTACTCTAAACTATATGGAGAGGCGGAGAGCTGATCATACGCACCACCATGTGAAAAGGAAAATGCTTGTGAACAAAGACCCAATAATTTTTTTACAGGATACAAATATAAACAATCACATTAAGTAGCGCTATCCCTGCAATGCTGAAAGGGGTGAGTCTTAGGCCTCAACTTCTTGACTAATCCAATTCTACGGACATCTGTAATAAACGAGAAACTAAGAGAGAAAACAAGCAAACCAACGATGGTTGTTCCCGGAGATTAAGACCTTTTTCTCTTATACAGATAATCTCTATGAGTTTTGTAGATAATCAATCAAAGCAGGGTGAAGACAAACCTTTGTGATCACGCAGATGTCCACGCAGCTACCAAAACACGAACATATGGCATCAGCGACCAGCTCAGTTTCAACTTCCACAATATAAAAATCTGGGCAACTTAAGACAGTATCACTAAGTTAGGGATCATATAATGCGAAGACTAATAAGCAAAAGAGTTTCCATGACTAGTTAAAGATAACATAACATCTCATATCAAACAATTACTCTATGCAATCTGTAGACATGAACATAAAAGCGATCAACGCGACTGAGGCTAAGCAACAAGCCTGTAATAAACGAGAAACTAAGAGAGCAAACCAACGATGGTTGTTCCCGGAGATTAAGACCCTTTTACTATACTACAAGCATATCATTTCTTTTATACAGCTAATCTCTAGGAGTTTTGTAGATAATTAATCAAAGCAGGGTGAAGACAAACCTTTGTGATCACGCAGATGTCCACGCAGCTACCAAAACACGAGCATATGGCATCAGCGACCAGCTCAATTACTCCATCCATCTACAGGATTTTGTAACAAGAATGAACGTTGGATGAAAAAGCAAAAAAAATAATTCAATCTGGAAGCGTATTGATTTTCCCCAAATCAGTTTCCCAGTACGAACTAGGTTAAAGATGATGAGAACACAAAAACCGTATGCAATTGCCCATTCATTTACCCAAACTCTCAAATCAAACCATGTAGAAGAATCTGAAAAAGCAATTGAAAAGAAAAAGAATTTCCGTTTGAGGGACTCAAAAATTCCTAAAAGGCATCAAAATCGACACGAATCTTGATCTAAGAATCCGATATCTGTAAAATCATGTACATGCTTCTATCGAGACAAAGAAACAAAACCTCGCAGCCGTGATTAAGCAACTGAAGGAGATAATCGATGAACAAATTTGATGCTTCCACGGATACCGAAGCGGATTGTCTGCACACATTTTGCTCGAATCGGGAAAAAAATTGATCGAGGAAGAAGAGTACGTACGGAGGGTTTTCTTTTCCCAAATTAACCTTAGTTACTAGTTAGATACATTTAGCAGGGGTAGTGTCGTCATTTGATATTAGAGATTTTTATTTTATTTTTTATTTGTCTGCTAATCATATTAGGGATTAATGACACCAATCTTTTAAAAGGAGAAATTATATTGCATATATGTACGTATATATATATATATATATATATTTACTACATGTAAGCCCTGTTCTAAAAATCCCCGCCTAGCCCCGATTACTCCCCGTTTAATCGTTAGGCCCACCCTATCCGCCTCGATTAATGATTAATCCCCTAAAATATCAGTAACCCGATTATTCTCCGCCTAATCTGATTACTTTCCGCCTAATCTTATATACCCCGATTATTTTTTAGATTGAAAGTATAAAATTTTTTTTATTTTTGTTATTCAATCATTTGAATGGAGAGTTTGTGATGTTTTACAATAACTTGTGTTCAAATTTTAATAAAAATCATAAATTTGTAATAAAAATCATAAATTTTTACAATATTGGATTAATATATTTTAAAAATATTAAAATAACCCTAAAACTAATCCCCGATTAATCCCCGATTTTAATCCGATTTTCCGATTAATCGCTAGGCCTATACCGAGCGCCCGACTAGCGCCTAGCGGTTTTTCAAACAAGGCATGTAAGTATACTAGACAATTACTACACATATAAGTATACTACATATATGTACGTATATATATATTTACTACATGTAAGTATACTATATGGGAAAAAATGAACGACAATTGGCGCAAGAGCTATTTACTTCTAACCACGTCTTGATGCAGGGCTTATGGAAGCCATGGTTGCAGAGCGGCAAGCGCACGCATTCATCCTCCCCAACCCCATACGCGAGGAGTCTCATACATATGCTGCAATATTCGGCTTTTTCAATACTAGTAGGCGGTTCCGCCGGAGACAATAGATATTTGATCGCGTTAGCATTCCCCGGTGGCATATCCTTCGGGATTTTTGCCGGCACAAAAAATCTCCTTGTTCTAGGGCGCCTATTATCGGGAACTCACCCATTATTGGGACTTCAAAATGTACCACCATTCTGATGCAGTCGTGATTAACACGTCCATGTCCGACCGCGTACGTGCTCTTCAATCTATATATACGTGAGGACAAAATGATAGGTGTTAGTTATATTGTTGTTACGTACGATTATTTGAAGAAGAGTTAATTAACCAGTAATTAAAACGAAATAATACTAACTTTTTCTTGAAACCTTTCACCAATTGACGGTAACATGGAACGCCGATCGTTTTTAAGAGTTCGCAAATGTCAACCGTCGCTTGGACCCCTCCACCGATTAGACCGTCACGTTCACACTCTCTTGTTACTTTTATATAGCGTACGTGGACGCTGCCATCGACATTGTGCCTTACGAAATTAATGTGGAACGAGAAATAAAATAGTGGTCGAGGAAAATTTAGGTTTGTATAAACAATCGAACGGATATTACCATCCTCGATGATATCCATTTTTCAGAGAGTGTTTGATTAGAGAAACGATATAGGGATTTGAGACAAACGAAAGCTATTGAATTCTCTTGCTCTGTTTTTCTTGTAGTGATATTTTGTGTTGTGACACCCTCTGTTTTTATAGCCGAGAGATTCTCTCTGTTATGCTTTTTTCTTAAGTTCTTCTTGTTCTTCTTCTTCCAACTACCTCACGCGCTGAAGAGCTTCTTTATCCATTTTTGGTTATAGCTTTTGCTGTTTTCTGTAACCATCATACTCTTTCCTCCATTCAGTAACCTGGAGCCGTGTCTATGTGATGCAATTTACTTTTACAAAGATATGCAAAACGAAAAAGGTAGCTTCTAGTAGCATAAATGTGCTAAGTAAAATGGAAGATACAGAGTCTCAACATTTTCAAAACTTTTCCACTTTTGCTCTACAGCTCTTTTGCTGACTGAGTAAAGGAGGAGTCATGTGTATGTGGAATAATTCAGAATTTCTTTTACTAATCTGAGACAAAGTGAAACGAAGACGTTAAACAATTTCACACCAAGGAAATGATGAGGTGGCAACTAGGGACATTTTTATAGGTTGTGTGATTGATTTTCTATGTTCATCAGGATCATCAACATTGCTTTAGTCATATAACAAGATCAAAATGTCAATTTAATCCTGGAGGATTCGATTCGGTTTGCTCCTCGATGATCCGGTTCGATTTGGATTTGTAAATTTTGCTAGGATTTCTGATTTTAACAGTGTTCGGTCACGACCAAAAAAAAAAAAACAGTGTTCGGTTTGGGCTTGGGTAAAATTTTCGATCAATATTCTAACCGACTAAACATTTTGTTAGTCGTATGTGACTCACAACATCGATCATGTTTTTGCGTGATTTCTCTTCACATTCTGTTTCTTGACGCCCAAGAAACAATACTCAAATCGACATTAATACTTTCTTTGTTGTTGTAACGTGAAAAAAAACATCAAATGTTTCATTGAAGTTTCCCCCGAGTACTGTAGATGGCTAGAATTTCAAAACTTCTTCATTTAGATATCAGCTTTTTCTTCATTTGGTAAAAAAGTAGAGTTACTTTTGTAAACAGACTCTAAACATTCTGATTTACATCCTACTATGTTTTCAAATCTCTCTTCGAACGCGGAATCTGTGTAAGTGTCAGACACACGTCGATTTTTTTGTTTGGTGGTTAAAGATAGTTTTATAAATTTTAAAAAGGGTGAATTAGCTCAATAACCAATTTTGTACCCAAAATTAAACTTATACCCATCTAATATCCATAATTCAGCAAGTAACTATGTTAATTGGGTTTGGACCAAAATGCCCTTGTATTTACGTTTGCAAAATTGAGAAGATAGAGAAGCCAGTGGACATCAGGGAGGAGGAGGGTCGGTGATAAGGCGAAATAGAAAGGGAGATCCACAGACGGATATCGGGAGAGAGATACACCGGAGGGGGAGAAGAAAGTAGAGATTCACCAGTGAGAGAGAAGTAGAGAAGAGATCCTTTCATAATAAGGAAGAGATTTGGCGGTGGTTACGACGAAGATCCGTCGGTGGTTGTGACGTAGATCCGGTGGCGGCTGTGACAAAATTCCGGTGCCGGCTGTGACGGAGAGATGCAACATTTGCAGCAGAGATGGGAAAACTGAGAAGAGCGTCAATCACAATAAGGGGTAAAATTGTCCCATATACATAAAATACAACATATATCAACTCGTTTTTTGGAAAACTGCTGGTTACTTAATTTATGTTTTTTTGTGCGTCAGTTTTGCAAATTTTCCTTTTAATAATCTTTCTTTACTTTCTTTTATTTAAATGTACCCCTAGTAAATTGCTAATATTAACCTTTTTAATTTGAGTAATTACACTGCATACCCTAAGACTGGAAAATAATTAAGTCAAAGGAGAAGGGGTGGTTTCGTAAATAAATGGTGTTTTGGTTTAATGACCAAATTACCAAATTACCCATACAATCTTCATCCTTCATGTTCTTGAGATGGCCGGAGATGGAGAGATCTCTTGTTCGTTGTTTTATGGCCGTCGTGGTAACGCTTTATTCTCTCGGTCGTGGTTGCCTATTTCCGGCGAACTTAGGTAAGCCTTTCGATTTTTGCATGCAGGAATTAGAATTCTCCGATTAATTTGTTTATTTATCAATTTTGAATTTGTCTGTCTCTTCAGGGGGATTTTGATTATTATCCATGGATTGAATGAACACAGGTGAAAAAAACCAATCCTTTTTTTTCTTTTTCTTGTCTCTGTTTTTCGATGAATCCCTAAATGAATTTGTGAATTGTTATTAAATTGCAGTGGATGAATCCCTAAATGAATTTGTGAATTGTTATTAAATTGCAGTGGAAGATATTCTCAATTCGCTAAGCAGTTAAACTCGAGTAATTTGGGTGTATACACAATGGACTGGATTGATATGAAGACGAAATATTGTTCTTTTCATTATTCATATTGGATCGATTGTTGAAGCTTCGGGATGGTGGCGAGACGAAGATCGGAGAAAGGGCAGTGAATGGTGGTGATGTGCCATTTTCTCTCTTTTGGAGGGTATTTTTGTCCGAAAGTTTATGGTGTGCCAGTTTCTCTCTCTTGTTTTGCAAAGAAAAAAACTTGTGTATGCCACACCTAATTATTTCTCAAATAATTAGCATGCAGCTAATTGACTCTTTTAATTTCTTCTTGGTGTTATTCTCACTATATTTCGTAATCATGTTTACTGTATCCACTTAGTTATCAATTATTTTTAATTAACTTTATTATGACTTAATAATAATATATCCTGATTTATTTTTAAAACACCTTAATGAGATTTTTTTCTTTCAATTTATTTATTTCTTTGGCTAATTTTATACAAATACATTATTTAATTTACATATTTTTTAATATGTAACTTTATTTTTATTTTATTTTTGTCTGGGCCTAGATTCTTGTTGTAACTTGTAAGGGAGGAAAGAAGGTTTGTTTGATCATATTGGCAGGATTAAAACTAAGCCCAATTTATAAAAAAAGCCCATGAAAAGAGAATTACAAAGTCACTCACGTGTTGACTCTCGAGTCATGTCGGCGATTCCATTCACTCTCCAGTAAACTTCATCAAGTCTCTCTACTGAAATCACGGTAATGCTCTCTCTATCTTCTCCTTAACCTCCTCATGAATCTTGATCTTTGTTTGTGTTCTTCGCAATTTCTCTTGTTGAATCTTTCTGGTAGATCTGAATGTGAAGTTTTATCACAGATGAATCTGAATTTTCTTTGTGCAGATCCAATCACAGATTCAACAATGAAGATTCAAGCTATATTGAGACCTTAACTTGAGCTCTTCTTCTTCTTCTTCTTCTCTCTCACTGCATTGAAGATGGGATCTGTATCTTTAAAGATCGGTGATGGAACAGCCAGATTCCGACGAACATCAATTTGTTCCTCCGCCGTGAACCTCCTCATGCTCTTCTCCGTCGTCACTACAAATCTCTTCGCCTTATACGCATTCTCCTCTCATTCCCAAGCTAATTCGCCACTTCTTCACAATTCAAACAATATCTCACTCGTTTCTCAACATCTCTCTTTGATTCTCCGAGAGATCGATTCGTCTCAACGTAAGCTTGCTCAGATGGAGAAACAGATGCTTGGTTACGAATCTATTGATCTCTCTCGACCTAATATTGTCCCTGAGCTCAAATTGTTCCTCCAACGTCATCAGCTTCCGTTGGGGAAAGACTCGCGTACTGGGATTACTGAAATGGTGTCGTCTGTTGGACATTCTTGCGAAAAATCTGCGGATTTGCTTTCTCAGTATATGTCATATAAAGTGTTTGATAGATGTCCTGATGATTGGAGTCTTGGCCAGAAGTTGATTCTTCGTGCTTGTGAGCCGTTGCCGCGGAGGCGGTGTTTGGCGAAAACGGTGCAGAAGCAAGATCTGAGTCGGTGGCCTGATTCGTTGTGGAGATCTGTTAGTAACAAGAGTGTTAATTGGAGTGGACTTGGTTGCAAAAGTTTTGATTGCTTGAAAGGTAAGAAACTTAGCCGGGAATGTGTTGGTTGTTTCGATTTAGGTAATGAGAAAGATAGGTTTGTGAAGGTTAAGGGGAAGAATGATTTCTTGATTGATGATGTTTTGGGTTTAGGAAGTGGGAAAATCCGAATCGGGTTTGATGTTAGTGGTGGATCAGGGACTTTCGCAGCGAGAATGGCTGAGAAGAATGTGACTATAATCACTAACACGTTGAATAATGGTGCTCCGTTTAGTGAGTTTATAGCTGCGAGAGGGCTTTTTCCGTTGTTTTTGAGTTTAGACCATAGATTCCCTTTCCTTGACAATGTGTTTGATCTTATCCATGCTTCTAGCGGATTAGATGTTGAGGGTAAAGCGGAGAAGTTAGAGTTTGTGATGTTCGATCTTGATCGGGTTTTAAAACCCGGTGGACTGTTCTGGTTGGATAACTTCTACTGCGCTAATGATGAAAAGAAGAAAGACCTTACACGTTTGATTGAGAGGTTTGGGTATAAGAAGCTAAAATGGGTTATTGGAGAGAAGGCTGATGCGCAAGTGTATCTCTCAGCTGTTCTTCAAAAGCCAGTGAGAGCTTGATCGGAAGGCAAAAGCAAGATCGTAATGGTAAGAGTAATAATACTCTTATTATAGTTTACATTTGATCATAGGTTACAAATTTGGAGGTCATTAGGTGAAATTTATTCCAGAGAAGAATAAGCAAATTATTTACCAGGGTAATTGGAGAAATCATTTTGTAAAAGTTTTTCAGTATAATGTGTTGTAATTTTGTCGATTATTAATACTACTTTTATGCGATTATATCCATATTAATTATATAGCATACAAATAAAAAAGAGTAAACTACATTGTGCATTTGGCATTAATTATTATTGTTATACTGTAATAATAATTATTGTTTTGAGACAGATGCAAGAAATGCCGAAAATAGACCACAAATATCAGAGTACAAAGTTATTCTTTATTGAGACGAGCGAAAAAACATAACAAATGATATGATCTCAAAATCATGTGTGATTATTATGAGGCGAAAAAAACAAGTTTTCGTGATTATCCTCATAAAACTCTCTAAGTAATAATCGAAGGAAAAAGAAGAACGACGAGGTCTTTTCACCCGTCAGGTGAGAACTGGTCTCATCAAAGATTTTTATGACACATAAAAATGATGATACGTTATTACCCAGAGAAAGGCTCTTCTCTATTTAACATGCATTGTTGAAAATACGACTGTGTGTGGCCAGGCCAATGCAAAAGCTTTTCAGCTGCACTTTAGTTAACCACGTCAAGAACCAGCTTGCGGGACTTGAGAACCGACCATTTCAGTCGCCTGTAATAGGCTGCTTGGAGCAGAGCAAGAGATAGTAGGAATATCCATTTGAAACCCATCTGCAAAGAGTGAAACCGGCATTAACCGCCATGTAAATGTTAACACATGAGCTAATTATCAGTTTTAGCTGGTTCTTTGGATCAGTCGGGAAGCTAAGTTTAAAGGTTTCTGCAAAACGAGTCAGGCCGCGTTCACAGCATATCTAAATGTAAATGTCTTAGTAGGAGACCAATATTAGCACAGTACACTTGGTACAACAATTGGTTCTCTAAGTCGCCTAGTTTGATCATACACCAAAAATCTAGTAACTTGGACTGAAACTTTGTCACTTTAACCGCAAAGTCTAGGAAGAAAATGCAATATTCACCAGAGAACAGAGAAAGATAAACCTACCAATTTCCTCTCTTCCATTTCTGGTTCAGCTGCCCAGGCCAAGAATGATACAATATCTTTACCCATCTGCGCCGTAGTCGGAAAAGTAATGTTAATATCATGACACGGAGAAAGGGCAGATCCATAAGGCCTAAAGATTCGTGTTTCTTATATTTTAAGTGGAGGAAAACTAACCTGTGCCTCTGTGGCGGGGACACCATCCTCATACTCAACAGCTTCATCATTGAGCATTTTCGGCATAGCAATTGCTCCCCCAGGGAAATAAGGATTGTAGTGTAACCCTTCTCTAATCTGTACAATTATCATCGGATTTTTCATAACCAGCACTTTGAATTCGAAGAAGTCCAATGTGGAAAATGAGAGAGAAACTTACCGAAATGCCAGCAGGAGGATCACGGTAACCAGTCAGAAGAGCAAAGACATAATTAGGACCGTTGTGACGTGCCTGGAAGGCAGAACATTAAGACTATTTAGAACACAGAACACATGTTTGCTACAGATGTTTAGTTTAAGTGTGAAGTAGGAGCAGCAGACCTTAGTTATAAGACTTAGATCAGGAGGATATGCTCCACCATTAGCAAACCTTGCAGCTGATTCATTCGAATATGGCTGAGGAAACCGGTCACTGACTTTACCAGGACGGGTGAACATCTCACCCTCATCATTAGGTCCATCTACTACCTCGATTTCAGCTGCCATTGCCTTTGCCTCTTCCTCAGTGTAGGCGACACCCACCAAATCTCGGTATGAGATCAGAGACATTGAATGGCAAGATGCACAGACTTGCTGATAAACTTGATGTCCACGACGGATCCTGCTCATACAACATCAAACTCAATGATTAATACAGTATAAATCTTCTAGCTTAAATTTCACAGTCTAACTATAGTAGGCAGCAGGATAATCACCTTAACTTATAAAAGCAAAAATAATCTATAAAATACTAGAACAATGCTATCCTCAAGAAGAAAAGAGAGAGGTGACAATATGTAGATAAACACTCACGAAGCATGGTCATATGAGCTGAGAATGCCATCATGAGGCCAAGGGTAATCTGGACACTCCAATCCATGTTCAGCTTCATCAGCAGACGCAACTGTAGAAAAACTCAACAGGCCTGTAACACCAGCACCAAATAGGGCAAGTGCTCTTACACCAGAAGAGCCAGCATCCTCATGAGCTTTCTTCGAAGAAAACCAAGACAAAACCGGAGTTGCCTGCAGATAAAACAAAACCAATGCTCAATCAAAACAAAATGGACTGTCAAAAGATTGCTGCATTCTACTAAGGTTTCACATTGAAGCAGAAGCTAAACATAAATTACAGGACCCTGTCATGGTAAAAAGTTCAATTTTTTCTTCTTAACCAGTAGACAAATCACACAAATTATTCTCTCCTGTTATGTTCCAAAAATGGAAAATTGCACTAACAATTCAAGAGCTGATTCTCTATCACTCATTAGCTAATGCAAATCTCCCAAAACACAAAGCTTTACCCACAGAACCAAAACAAATAACAACGAAATCTCTTCAAACAGATCCCAAGCTGAAAATCGTAAATCAAAATAGAAAAAAATCTCACAACTGATTGAGAGTGAAGCTTCCTCCTAAGAATTTGCTGGATAAGTCCTCCTCCAACCATTTGATTAACGCTTTGTACCAATCAACTCGCTGAAGAAACAAAGAAATTGAATCAAAACTGAATCAGTGAAAATGAGATTTCACGACACATATACGAATAAACAATAGCCAACAAGCCCTAGAAAAAATCTGAGTCTACATACAGATCCGACGAATATAGATAACTCTAATCAATCAAATGTCAAAGAAGACATCGAAGGCTTCGAAATTGAGAAATAGGAATAGAGAGAGATAGAATCTCACCGGAAAATGAAGCAACGAGATCGGCGACGGAGACGATCGAGGGAGAAGAGTTTGGGAACGAAGAAGTAAAAGAGAGAAAATGGGAGTTCCACGATGACACAGCGGCTGCTAGACACACGACGACAGTTTTACTTATTTGGGCCTTAATGGGCCAACGTCGTATGTTTAAGCCCAGTATTTAGGACATACAAATTCCCCTGACCTATGTTGGGCAATGGAGAAACAAGATGTAAAACATACTCACTCTCCATTCTTTAAAAAAAAAATATTTTGGTTAAAAAAGTGTATTTTAATTTTTCTTTTTTTATAAAGTACTGTATTATTTAATATTTAAATTTAAATAATCTAACCAATAATAAAAATTACTACATTACAGAAATGACTACAAAATATCAAATACATTTAAATTTTAAATAAAAACCTACCAAACATATAAATAAAATAAACCAATAACATCCTATAAAATGGAACGGAGAGAGTATATCCTATATTATTATTTGGGGAGTACAATTTACAATTACCCTTAATTAACATTTCCCTTTGTAAGAATTTACTTGAGAATGTCATTACAAAAATATTCTTTTAGAACAAATTTCATTCAATTTATTAAAGATAAACAAGTAAAATACTAATTTATGTCATTTAATTAATTTAATTAAATTATAAAACGAAAATTTGTTATTAAATTATAAATGACCAATCAAAATGAACAGATTTGATATCTAACTTACCATATTAATTTATAATTAATCATTAAACTTGATCTTTCATCTTTATATGATTATATTTATATGAAACAAATAAATTGTCATATCATCTACATAATAAAAATTAGAGAAATTGTTAAAAATGCCCCTTTTTCAATACCTCTTTTCAAAAATGCCCCCTTTGAGAGTCCATTTTTAAGTTTGACCTCTTTTAATTTTTAATGACCATTTTACCCTTATTTGAAACAAAATTAGGTCCACAAAATACAAAATATTTTTTGGCGGGAAAAGTGATCCCGCAATTTTCCCGCCAAAACACTTGTAAAAACCTTTAAAATACATTGTAAAATTTTCCCATAAAATTTTTCCCGCCAAAAAACATTTTTTGCGGGAAAAGTGATTCCGCAATTTTTTTGGCGAAATTTTTTTGGCGGGAAAAATTTACAAGGTATTTTAAAGGTTTTACGGAGTATTTACAAGTGTTTTGTAAGGTTTTACAATGTATTTTAAAAGGTTTTACAATGTATTTTAAAAGGTTTTACAAGGTACTTATAAGGTATTTATAACTTGTAAAACCTTATAAAAAACTTGTAAAACCTTATAACTTGTAAAACTTTATAAAATAGCTTGTAAAATCTTATAAATACCTTATAAATACGTTGTAAAACCTTTTAAAATACATTGTAAAACCTTATAAATACCCTTTAAAAAACCTTTAAAATACCTTGTAAATTTTTCCCGCCAAAAAAATTGCGGAATCACTTTTCCCGCAAAAAAATTTTTTTGCGGGAAAATTTTACAAGGTATTTTAAAGTTTTTACAAGTGTTTTGGCGGGAAAAATTGCGGGATCACTTTTCCCGCCAAAAAATATTTTGTATTTTGTGGACCTAATTTTGTTATATTTCCTTATATATTTGTGATATCTTTTATTAAATGAAGAGAAATTTAGTCATTTTGTACATAAAAAGGGGTATTTCTTAAAAATGGACAGCCAAATGAAGCATTTTTAAAAAGGGGTATTGAAAAAGGGGCATTTTTGTGAGTCTCCCTAAAAATTATGTATATGCCAAGATTTGAATTTTTAAAAACGCATATAAATTGTTCAATCTATAAAAGAAACAATTAAACGGGTCAAAAATTCAGACTTGAGTAATATATTTCTTTTACACAAAAATAAATCCAACAAAAATTCCGACTGAGCAACGGGTCAGAATTTGAATATTTATGTTCGATTTCATACATTTATTTGTTTGAAATGTATAATTTTATATACTACAATAAAAATTTTAATATTTTAATTTGCAACATTTAAAATAAGTTTTACTTGATATTTTTAGAGAATATCATCAATACTTAATAGTTCAAAAAGTTCAAAATTATAAATACTCTAATTTGATTATTTTTTAAAATATTTATAATAGGTAGCGGATTAAATATAATATATTATATGATGAAATGAGTTTTGATCCTTATAATATATTATATATTTAATTTCATATAATTTGTTTTTGAAATTCATAATTTTATAAACTACAAAAAAAAATTTAAAGATTTTAATTTAGAACATTTAAAAATAGTGTAGAACATTTAAATATGGTTTGACACCTCTAAATATTTGAAAATTTGATTCCTCAAGCAATTTTAGAATTAACGAATAATAGATTGTGCACGCAATATTTTAAAATGAAATATTGAGATTCTAAAATAAAAATATAGACTCCATGCACGGATTGATTTTGGTATTATTATATACAAAATATATGTTTATAACATATTCGATTATGCGAATAATTGGTAAATTCCGCAATTATAAATCTCAAACAAATTCTGTAATTAGATTATCTCAAAAAAATCTCTATTTCAACAACCAAAGAATTATAAATTGAAAAAGAATTTTCTAAATTAATTCAAAATAATAGTTAATTTTCTTAATTAATTCAAAATAATCTATGTTTTATATGCGATTCATTTATGATATTTTAATTTTTGATCTAATTGAAATATATGCAATCTTATTTTGTGGTTGTTAACATAAATTAACTCATTGTTCAAAAAATATTACTTTTTAAAAAATAAAATTATTTTCCGTTTTCATATCTTAAAAAAAAATTATCCACAATTGAGTATTATAGAAAAAATCTATATTTATTCTAATATTGTATTATAGGAACTGACAAAAAAATTAATATTTTTTCACTTACTATTATAATATATTAAAACTTAATTTTAGTATATATATTATATAAATTTTGTAATAAATAAAATTCAACCCGTCCTTTAGTACGGGTGATGATCTAGTTTTTTCTATTATTCTAACAATTTATATTAAAAAAAATTTGGTTAAGTGAGCCAATCCGAAGGAACATTGTTTACATATGTTACATAGGGCACTTGTACACGAGCAATGTGACATAAAACATATGACTTTTGAAAAATCATAAACCACCAGAAGTAGACTTGGTTGGATTTTCAAAAATTAATATGGAGATTAAAAATATATGTTGGAATTATCACACTAGTGACAAAGTTTGTACTTCAAACAAGCTTAATGGTCTAATCACTTCAAAACACGATTTTGCTTGAAGATTTTTTTGTGATCACAAATTGATAAGGTGTAGGTGAGATCGAAGGACGGTGGTTTAGTAATTGAAAGTTGCATAGTGGCGACTCATCGACGGCGATCCAGGAGAATTAACCGTCTAATATTTTGTCAGTTGAAGAGTCGTTTAATCAAAAATTATCCACAACTGTAAATTAATCACATCAAAATGAATTAATGGTCATTAGATCCAAAACTAACCACGGTTGAAGTTAAAATCTCATGATCAATAACATTTATTATTAGCACATAGATTCAACCCAAATACATCGAGATATGCATTTAGAAAGAAAAAAATTATCACGATCTTCCAGTTACTAGTTTCCATCTCTTTCAAAACCAACCATGTCTGGTGATAAATCTCTCTTTCTGCTCAACTTGTTTGAATTTTATCTTTGTTACTTTTTTTAGGATTCCAATAATATTTCTACGTATTTCTTTGTACTTGTTTTTTAAAATTTATGGTAATTTGCTTTTGTGTTTTTTTCGTTACTAGTTTGATTTGATTTTGTTAGATTAATTTGCAGCTCCAGTTTAAATCCACATTTTATGAGATATATGTGAGATGTTTTTATTAGAGTGGAGGGTAATTATTGAGCCATTCTCTTATTAAAACAATAACACAATTGTTGTCTTACAACATTATGATGTCACTTTAACTTCTAATTCCATATACATACATATTAGGAAATAATCCATCATCTCAATTTGATGATAATTGAAATGCATATCTGTTATAGATTTTGAGAAAACAAATTTTGTGCGGTATTTGTAAATTTTGCATGAGTACATGCCTTAGCATACTATTGTATTATCATTCTAACAATTTTGTGTGGTATTTTAATTAAATTTGTCAAAAAAATTGATCATTTTTTTTTGTTTGATTTTTCAGCACCTTATCCTAAGCAGGCACTTACAGAGATAGAGATGACGAAAAATGTTCTTCTACATGCTCTGTCACATGCTTCTCTTTCCATTCGTTCGTCTCATATCCTCATCATTAGTGGTGACAACTTCTTTAGAAAAGTCCCTAGGAGATTGAGATCATTAGGTTACAATTCATTTATTGTTGTACCTAATGATGCGAAGATGGAGTTCTTTGATGACCCAGACAATCTAATAGAAGAAAGGAAATACATTTGGTGGTATGACTCATTGCTTGATTCCAAAAGTAAAGAAGTCTTAGAGTAGACCATACCTAAATGTGTTTTGTTTGAATTAGTGCATTGTTGGAGGATTAAAAGATTGAGATCATCTTCTATGTTCTAATTTATTAAACGTATTGACATAGTGAACTCCTTGTGTTACTCTTTAACTTTTGATGGCTCTGGTTTGTAGAGACAAAAACCAGAGTGATGCTTTTAATGCAAAGGCTTTTTAGTTTCTCAATGTTGTTTGTTTTATGTTTGTTCTTATTAACAACCTTTTTATCTGTAAGCTTTTCTATTGAATCTAATAATTATGTACTAGTTAAGATTTTATTTTTCATATATAAGCATCATGAATTTTGAAGTAAATTTTGTACCGGATGGGTTAAAAATTTATCAAAGATTTTTGGTATCTGATTTGGTACAAAATTTACTTCAAACTCTTACACCAAATATTTTATATTTTTCTTTGGATCAGATTATAAGAAACCGAACTATTACACCGAATATTCTATATTTAACAATATATATATTTAGAAGATTTGGTTAAGATTTAAAATTATGATTCTCCTATCACTACAAAAAAAAGGAGTCAGATTCATCAATTAACTTGTGTCAAAAAATTAAATGATACTAATTTGAATCATTTATTATAATCGATAGGAAAATTATAATTTAACATCGGTCGCAATAATTGATGCCATGTGCCATCGTTTCATCAAAACTGATGCAAATCTAGATCTATTTGCATCATTTTCATAATATTGATACAAACATATGAATTTACATCATTTAGAAAATGATACAAAATTTCAATCAATAACAACCGATGCAAATTAAAGATTGAGCATCTGTTGTAAAAAGCGATGTAATTGGTTACTTTATTTTTCAAAGTCCCACATTGCTCCCACTAAAAAAGAGGTTTCTTAGTTTTCTTATATAAAGTGGCCTTGGTTTTTATGGTGTCAACAAAGTGTAAAGCTTAATAAGAAGCTATTATCCCAAATAAATATAATCGTTTGTTTCTATATTAATTAATAAAATTAAATAAATTTCTTTATCAAAAAATTATTTAATATGATTTTACAAATTTTAGCCTCAATTATTTATAATTGATATAAACACTTAACATCACTTATTATTACCGTAGAAAATTTTAACATCATTTTGATAAATTGATGCAAATACTAATATCATTTATATTAATTGATGCAAAATTAACATAATTTTTTTAACTGATGCATATTAACATCGATTACAATAATCGGTACAAATAATTATTGGAACCGATGCAAATATTTGCATCACCAATTCCAGAGTTACTTATACAAGTGATGTAAAACTCATTTGCATCAATTATAAGTGATTCAAATACACAAAATAAACGATGCAAAACACCTTTTTTGTTGTATATCATCTTTTTTTGATTATTTTTTTATCATATTAAACATAAAGTTAAGAAATATCTCAATTTGTTTTCTACAAATATTGTGATTCGAAATTTTAAAACCGGACATATATTACCCAACTGATGAAAAATGTGTGTGTTCAACGTCCCACATCGGCTAAAATATTTAGACAATGATTCAAAATTATATTATAAATAAGATCAACTGTTTGAAAGCATCCAAATTTAAAAGTTTAGATACGGCTTAATTCGGTCTTTAGTTTAATTCTTTAATTTTACCGGAAATATTATATTTTAAAAAAAGTTTTAATTATTATAATTGTTATATCTAAAAATCAATAAAATCTTTATAATATTCTGAAGATTTGAACAAATAAAAAATTTAAAATAACACGGAACGAATTATATTACGGGACGGGGTTATATGGGAAGACGGGTTTGAATCAACATTAATAAAAAAAATATAAATATCACTAATCCGCCGCTTCAATACAGATTACATCTTTGCAGTGTTGAAGAAAGCGCTAGGCGCTAAGCGGGCGGTGACCCAGTGCCTAGCGCCTAGAACGCCTAATCGGGGCCTAGGCGATTTTTTAGGCGGTTTAGACGTTTATAACATAAAATATTATAAATATGATATTATATATAAAAGTTATATAAAATATTTATATAAAACTAAAAATTATGAAATTATAAACAAAAACTAAATAAAACATTTATTTATATTTATATTAAACAATATATGAATATTTATAACTATATATATAAATAAAACTCTAATTGAAATTGAAAAAATACATTAAACAAGTTATATGTAATTTTAAGCGGTCAATGCGGTTATCTAGGCGTCGCATAAGAGCCTAGCGCCTAGTCGGGGCCTAGGCGACCGCCTAGACTGCTTTTTAGAACACTGCATCTTTGATTTATTATTTTTTAAGACCACCAATATTAGATATATCAAATCAGCATGATTTAGATAAGATTGTATAAAACCACAAAATGTCTTGTTATATACCATTATTTAATAACAATTACAATAAATATCTTATAAATGATATAATTTGTGATGTTAAAAAAAATTAAAAAATGATATAATTTGTAAATTTTTATATAGAATAAATAATTATTAAATTTTAAAATTCATTACTTTTAAAAAGTAAATCGTTCCAAAGTGTACCACAATTAAAATATTATATATATATATGACTCATGGTATACCGCGGGATAAATAATTCCGTAATTAGCTCAAACAAATCTCTATTTCAACAACCAAAGAATTACAAATTGAATAAGAAATTTTCTAAATTAATTCGAAAAAATAGCTAACTTCCTTAATTAATTCAAAATAATTTACGTTTTAGATTCGATTCATTTATGATATTTTGATTTTTGATCTAACTGAATTATATAAAATATGAGTTTGTGGTTGTTAACATAAATTAACTCATTCTTCGAACATTATTAATTTTTTAAAAATATTATTATTTTCCGTTTTCATATCTTAACAAAATTATCCATAATTAAGTATTATATAATAAGAAAATTATATTCATTTTAATATTATATAACGAGAGAGACAAAAAAATTAATATTTTTCACTTACTACTATAAGTCTATAATATATCAAAATTTTATTCTAAAATATATAATATATAAATTTTGTACTAAATGAATTTTAACCCGTATCAGGTTCTAACCTTTATAGGCATATTAATACAGATGTAAGTGACGCCTAATACTTCATGACCCGTAAGTCCTTATTAGAAAGATTCAAATTTATTCAATATTTATAGTAGTAGCAAACCTGCCTATAAAGTGGTAATCAGATTAGAGTTGTATTTATTTGAGCTTACTCGAAAATATTGTGATGTAAATATAACTAATTCTCGTTCTGCATGAAATAATATAGTATTTAGCTTTCACAGATAAGGAGGACCAAATTCAGATGTTTTCTTCATTGTGACAACAATCCCTTCATAGTTTTACATATTCCTCTTTACTCCATATATCATCAAGCTCTCCTTCCATTCGTTATCCATATCAAAAACTAAATCAGGCAACATTGGAGATTTAAAATCAAAGCAGAGAGCAGCTTAGACAATGAAGACGAAAATCACAAATAACATTAGATCAATTCTAGATTTATTTTTCAGATTCAATGTCCTATTCCACCAATCAGTTTGTGAACAACATGAATCAATTGGTATAAGATCAACGGAAATAATCATTTTTAGATTACCTTAGATTTTTTTTTTCATCAATTAGATTACCTTAGATTCGAATTTTAAATTCCCTTGCTTCTGACGATTTGAAAAAATCGAAGATGTTTGGTCCTTTCACAACAATCTTTATTACTTCGTTTGTCAATTTGAATGTTATTGTCAGATCCAGATTTGAAGATGTTATAATATAAAGGATTATAAACAGAAATCGAAGATGAAGATTCATGCTAATTTGAAACCATTGTCAGATGCCGCAACCGACAAAAATTCTTCTCAATTTCAGACAATTTTTAGATTTTGTTATTATTATTTTTATTTTTTGCAGATTTTTTTTAGATAATTAAATACGAACCACTCTAACTAATATTAGGCCTATTTATCTTCCAAACAATCTAATTGGACCCACGAATAAAACTATGACACAATGCAAATATAAATCTAATTTGGCCCAAAATATAAATCCTCTCATACAAACAAATATAATCTTTTATCTTAACAAAAATTACACACCACATAAATTATATACAAATCAACACATTTAATATGATGTTTTGTTACCAAGTCAATCTAATACAATATTATATCCAAATAGTGATAGAAACAATAGTAATAAAAATCCTATATTATTATTTGGCATCACTTGTAAACTATACTATTATACTATATTATTACTTTTATTTTCAAACAAATTATACAATTTGATTCATACAAATATTTAATTTCGTGTTATATAGCACGGATCATGATCTAGTATATGTAATATTTTCGCGAGCTTTGGTAATATTTGAAAATGTATCCGTCCTTCGTGCGTTAATAAAAATTCAAATAAGAAAAAAATATATCTATTGTTTTAGATGTTTGATGAGTCATGACATAACAGCTTTTCAAGTGAGAAATGGAAGACACATAATGCAATTTGATTGGTCGGAGATTACGAGGACCAATAAGAGCCTTCGAATAAGGTGAAACAGCATATTGTGTGTTTACGTAGGACCCATGCATTCATATAATATAAAAATTTAGTAAAAATAAAAGAAAATTGGGGAATATATATACCAAAATTATTGGACACCATGGATAATAACCATATCATATGGATCTATGTGTATGCATCTTTGTGGGTAAAGATATAGTCACATTGCTTCTATTCAACAACGTGTGTGTCTCTGCGTCTATAGTGGCCCGTCAAACATTTAATACTATTATGTGTTGGACCATACATTTTGCTAATCAACAAAAAATATACAAAAAGTTAAATCTAAGTGACCATAATTTATACTCTTAATGGTTATCTCTGATAGTACTTGGCCATCATATTATAATCCGGATCAAACCGTAATTTTTCTATGGCATATGCAACGTAAAAAAGACAATTAATGCTTTTGTTGTTTAAATGTACGTGGATCTTGATTGAAATTCTAAACGATTATTCTATTCACTTGCGTTCTATATGTTTGTTAATTTTTAGTCGTAACAATTTTATGTATGGTATAATAAACTAATGCAACATACATATACTATGGATGTGGTTATTTAAAATCCTTAGAAAATATTCTTCTATAGATCTCACATACACATAAAAACGTACACAAGCAGTTATACATATATGTGTCTATATCTATATACAATGACACATCTACAGTTAATTATAGACTTAATAGTCATATATAGAGGTTGACGTACAATATATGTATATGGCGTTACATCGTACGATATGTATGATTGATTAACATGATCTTCTAACTATAAATTAAATTAATTAATCTTTTATCAAAAAAAAATTAATTAAATTAATCATATGTTGCACAAGAATAATTACCAGTTGGTATAACACGGAACTTTTACAATTGAAACCTGGGAGTTACAAAATGAATCGTTTATCAAAATATTCATGATACAAACAAAAAAATAAATAGTTACCCTTATCTTAATCTGCAAAAAAAAAAAACATATTAAAAAAAAAGACATAAATATGGTGCAAACGATGACATAAGAGATGCACAGAAACCATCCAATGATTTAACTGTATCTTACGCTAACCCTAAAGCCACGTGGCGAATTACCACTCCTTCACATTTGCCCCGAATGATAATCTTTTCGGCTCACCGGAGAGAGACACACAGAAAGACTATAGAGAAAGAGAGAGAAAGAAAGAAAGAAAAGAGTGAGAGAGAGTGTTTGATAAGAGAGAGAAAGATAAAAATGGATCAAGATGAGTGGTTGGGAACGCTAAGATACGCGCAGGATAAAGTTTCCGTTGACTCTCTCATGCTCCGGTACCGTCCCATCGCTCCAAAGCCGGCGACTGGTCAGTCATGTGGTGTAGGAGATAATAACAACAACAACTTATACGGTATGAGCAAACGAACCAAACGAAAGTACGTTAGGGTTTCGAAGAATAATAAAGGCACGTGTCGAGGTAAGAGCAGATCTGACTTGTCTGATAATCGGGAACAAACTGAAGTCGTGACGTTGCAACTCTTGCCGGAAAAATCAGATATTTCCGGTGAGTACTCGCCGTTGGATCAGGATAGTCTCGATCCCTCGGTGAAAACGATAATCGGAGAGGAAACACAAGAAACCAACATGTGGGGTACGTTTAACGGCGGCGTCACGGCGGATATGGAGACGTGGGTTACGGTGGAGTCTGTCACAAACGTTTGTGATGGTATTTTGAGTTCCCATGCGGTGGGGTTTACTGACGTTGAGATCGTTGATAATCTTGGTAAGGACACGTGTCCAGCGTTCGTATCTGATGGTTCGAACCGTGTGGTGTGGGTCAACGAGGCTTACCGGAGGAATGTTTCCGGTGATGATTCAACGTCGGTGTCCCCGGATGTCGTGGTGTGGTTGGTGGCGGAGGAGGCAACGGCGGCGATGCATTGTAACTACCAAGCTTTCACGTGTAGGGTGAGGATGCAATACACGTGGAAGGAAACAAAGTATACAAAAACGGTGCCGTGTGATGTGTGGAAAATGGAGTTTGGTGGCTTTGCATGGAGGCTAGACACAACAGCTGCTCTGACTCTCTGGCTTTGATGGTGATTGCTGCAAGAAACATGAGGGTAAGATTACCAAGCTATGTGATTTTAGAGTGTGTCTAATACACAAAACTTTATAATCACTTCAAGCAACTTTGTTTAGACTATTATAAGATGCGTAAGAAGGAAACAAATGATGCTAATGTTGGAAGAAGTGTGGAGAAGCTGGAAAGCTTAAATATATACCGTAATAATGTCATATATTTATTGGCAAAGACTAAATAAAAGATGCCATTGTATGGTTTCGTACCAATCTTGGCTTCTATTTTTATTTTAGATCGATAAATTTGTTAAACATATAACAGATCTGTGTGTTTTAAGATATCACTGATAATTTCAGAGGTATCGTACATCTCGGAAAAATATCAAATTTGTTGATAAAAATGCATATGTATCATAGTGTTGAAAGTGAAATGCAAACAAATAATATATTAAACTAAAGAATATGTTATAAACTTAGATCTGATATATATATATATATATAAACGAAAATATATTGATTGAGAGACAAAAACACATGAACTATATATATGGGGACCCTATTGAGTGTCATACTTCGAATTAAATTCTTCACACTAAGCTTTTGCACCAACATTATATACACACATACTCAACACTTATACATACATACATTGATATATATATGAGATGCTATACCATTTTTTATTTAAGCACAACATGCTATATATTTCATGTCATTGTAACGTGTATACTTGGAAGACTCATATACGTATATATTTCATATCCCTATTTTTATGATAAGTATATATATTTACAGATTTGCTTTAAACATTTTTATATTTGTTTCTTAAAGACTCGTAATTAACATCATCTTAATTAACGACCTTTTTGAAAGATGCATTCATACATCCATCACTTATGTATCTAACAAAAGGATATGTGTCTGTATATGAACACATAATATATGATATATACAAATTATAGCACTTGGTTCTCAATATTGAATATCTACAAATTTGAGCTTCATTTACATGCACTATACTATAATAATTGTTGCGCATATTTCATTTATTCTATATGTACGAGCTAGCTAGGAACGTTAAAAGTTGTTGGCTGAATCGTTCAGATTCATCATCCATATATATGAGTAAATACACTGTATATAAGCGCCCATATATGTGCAGATTTACACATGTTAGACCTGCTTAATTATATATAATGGTGAATTATCAAAAAAAAAAGGAGCATTATCAAAAAAGAGAAAGAAAAACTTTTTAACTATATAATAGTACTAGCCGATGTATAAAGCAATATCTTCGTGGGTTCTGCTTATTTCTGCATGTGGAGATGCCTCATTGGTTGACAAATAAAGAAAGAAAAAAGCCAAAAGTTCTAATGAGGAAGGAGAATAAATAAAGTTGTAACACTCACACAGATAAATCATATACGTGGCATTTGATAAGAGAACAACAGCAACCAATCAGGGTCTCCACATTTCTACCTTCGATTTTCTTTCCGACAAGCTTATGTCATCACTATCTAGGATCCGTTGATTGGTTCGGTCGTTCACGTGTCTTATTGAGCTTAAAATCTGGCCGTACGTTCGATGTCAAGTCTTTTGTGCTCGCGTGTAGTGGAATAGTCTCTTGAGTGCGATGGAATTTTGGTAACAGAGAAAACGATCGAATGATAGCCTTTCACGTGTCTGTTGTATTCTGAATCTGACCTGAGACCATTCAGAGCATATGCAATGCAAGTCTCTCACCAAAGTCTCTCACATACAAAAGTAATAATAAAATAAGAAATAATAGTATTTAATTATATGAGTCTCTCAAAAAAGTTGAGAGAATCTCTCATAGGAGAGACTTTGAGAGATTCTTTTTACTTTTTTTAGAAACTCACATAATTATATATTATTATTTCTTATTTTATTATTACTTTAATACTTGAGAAACTATGGTAAGAGATTTGCATTGCACATGCTCTCAATTTTTCTTTCTTTCTTTCTTACCAATAAATTCAAGTTTTAGTCCTCCTCTTAATGAGTATTTGAAGTCTTTAACTTTGAATTATGTTTTCACAGAACTAATACACCAGTTAAACTATACCAACACTAGATAAATATAATTTAATCTTAAATGTTTAACGTAGGATAAAGATTCGAATATATGACGTACTTTCAAAAATTGACATAAGCTGATAAGCATTGACAAAATATTTAGGATTTGAATATAAGCATAACTTTGATTACTATTAATTTTTTTAAGTAATTCATATTTTTGGTAATTTTCGTTGCTGTTTTTAGTTGAAAATATGTTCTTTTCAAATACGAAATATAAGTTGACAAAAAAATTCATTGTAGAATCGTTTTAAACCATTTGTTGGGTCTGACTCGTTAAAAATGTAGAAGAAATGGAAAAAAAATAAATAAAAGAAAAGAAAAGTCTCATCAAGAAGAAAAAAGAATTCTAGTTGTTTAGAAGATAGAAGAATTCTTTTGTTTTAGTTACTTTTTTGACAATTTTAGAAGAAAAAGTTTTATTCTAATTTTTTTTACTGGTATCTAAGAGTAGATTTTTTTTTCTTCTTTTTCTTCTATTGTAATTAACCGGTCACACTCGTTGTCCTTAAAAAAAAAGCATTCTTTGTCAATCTATTGTAAAAAGTAATCTTGTTTATCATAAATAATAAAAATAATATTGCTAACAAGATAAGAACAATGATGATGATATAATAGACGAAAAATATAATAAATTGACGTTTTTTTCTCCATATGGTGTGTTTTCTCTCCTGTTCTAAAAATCGGCCGTCTAGGCGCTGATCGGGTGGGAATCACGGCGATTTTGTCCAAATCGGTGATCCAATTTTTGTTATTATGATTTTTTGTACATAGCTTTAGAAGGGTATTTTGGAGTTAAAAAAAAAAACAAAAACACTTTAGTTATTATTTAAAGATATGAATTATTCTAGTTATTAATCCCTATAATATTTATTTAGATAATCTATAATATTGATTGATAAACTTGTAGTACTATTTTGTGTGGTTGAAGTAGGGTTCTATTGGCGTAAAGAGGCTCCACGTGTACTGTCGCTTTCGTTAGTGGTATAATAGATGGAGCTCTTTCATTGGTACACCACTTGGTTGGACCAGAATCTCGACGTTCCCATCACCATAGATACGCTAACATAGCATATATTTAGTCTTCTTTTGTTTTTTTTTTTTCAATTTGGGGAAGAATTGTATTAAGTTCTTAAAGTCTTTTTAGCATTTTCTTTTTCTTTATTGACCTCAAACGGTTGTTACAATGGGAATGAAAAATTCAATCAAGTCTGGCTTATGATAAAGATTTTGTATCTCAAGACATATGGATGTCGAAGTACAGCAAGATCCTGTAGATCACAGGAAAGAGCTGTATGCGGGAAGCTGCGAAACATTAAATGATGAAGATGTGATGAGCTGCGATTGGTGACTGGAGTTTCCAGAACGTGAGAATCAAGTTATTCAAGATATAAGCAAATCAAGGAAAAAAGATTTGAAGATATCTTAGAATAGGAAATTAGGTTAGTTGCGTTTGTGTGGCTACCTATATATTGGCAGTCTAAGCGTTAGTGTAACACCTGTCCCGCCACAAAAGACAGGACTGCGTGTTATCCATTCGGTCTTGCCAAAATATTTCTTTTTTTTTAAATTCACTAACGAACAAACTTCAACCCGCAACTCACGAAACTTACTAACCTGGAAAATGGGGAAAAGGGGTGAGTAAAACAAGTTTACTCAGTGAGGAGATTAACTCTGCCCACTGGACATTACAGTAATCACGTTTCAAACATAATCAACAACCATTACTTAGCATAGATTCAGAATGTCTATCAATCAAACAAACATGCATTTGTCTTGCCACAACTAGATATTTTACTTTCATTTTTAGTTTTAAGTATTTTAACTTATGGATACTCGAGCCTCTTTTAACTTATGGCTACTCAAGCCTACTTATGGAAGACCACGACCTGTAGCTCGATCCTTCCCCTTATTGCTCGTCAGCGGTTAATGACATGTATATTACAGTCCAACCTCCTCGAGTATCCTTCTCATACTCTTTAGTTTTCTTTTCTCATATACATATACTTAATCATTTCTCTAATATAATATACGTTAAACATGATATCAAATAATGTCATTAATGCATTTCACATAACATGTTACTAACAACCTAACTTTATGATACACACAAATTCACATAAATCAATAAAGACAATTTTCGAGCCTATACTCAACAACTATCGAAGAGTATATAAGGAAAGAGGTTACTGCATATCCGCAAATACCACTCTCAACTTAGCCTAGTTGAAGATGAAGAACATTTCTTTTCTCCATTCCCCCTTTAAACAAATTTACTAGCTTGGTTACAACCTCATAGTCTTGAACTCCACCTTGGCTCTCCATCAACCAAGACATAATTATGAGAGTCTTAAAGGCTCCTGCAAAGTTTGGGCTCAAACCAAACTCGTTTAACCAAACAACAACACAAACCATCACAATTTACTCTAGAATTATCAGTCTCGGAAACATACTAATAAGTAAGGAACGAACCGTTACATTCTAAATTACACCGTTGGATCTTGAGCCTGAAGTACCCCAGAGCTCTCCACCAAAATTCAGCCAGATCGGAATAGTTTCAGACCTCCAAACCTTGCCTTGAAGAACCCATCTCGGAACAGCCTTTTAGGGTTTCTGGACTTTGACAGATTCTGCTGTTACTTGGCCAGAAAGCAACATGCATAACACTTTCAATTTAACACCGATTCAAGATCCATCAGTGGTTGTGGATTCATGGCAATGTGATCTTTCCATTGATGCTTTAATCGTGATCTGATTCCTTCTGGTCACAATAAGAAGCCTCACAAAACCCCAATTTGAACTGCTCCTTTTTCCTTCATCTTCTTCCTTCTTTGCTTTTGTTTTGATTTGCCCCTGCCTAGGTCTACTCTGATCTTCTTCATCTCAGCTTCTCCTTACTGTCCCGATCCCTTCTGCTTCCTTTTTCTTTTTCTTTTCTGGTTCTCCTCAAGTGTACGGTGGTAGCTCACAGACTAA